TACAGGAGGCGTCTTGAAACTGTCATTGACAACAAAGGCTTTTGTACAAAGTATTAGATAAATTTCAGTAAGTTTTTTCATTAATTTTTTCCTTGTGCCATTCCACATTATTACAAATAACTTAATTTCTGGACATTTATGGTTTGATTTCTTTGTATGTATGGATCACTTGGGTTGTTACCAACATCTGGTGAAAATTTCATGTCATTAACACCTCTAGTAATATATTTACTGAGAAAAATGGTGACGTGATCAATACTTATTTTACCCGCAGTATATTTTATCATAAGAACTGTAATTGTTAAATGTGATTTTTGATTAAGTTGATGATTCTATATTCATAGTTACATGCCTGGTAACAAATACAACACATATTTGTACTTTTAAAATCATTAGGAGGTGTTTAGTTGTTTGTGGGCATGGCTTTGACCAAAATGATAGGGACCCCCTCCCGACTGTTGACGTAATTAATAKAGGTGGAGTCATGCCCTGAAGCTTATTATAAAACTCTTTTTATTTCCTGATTCAGTCTGATTTCCTGATACATTAAACCGGACATCAGCAGAGCGCTCTTGGTTTTGTATGGCCATTCTTTAAGACTCTCTCAATGCATTTGAACAATTTCTGTACGTTTTTTTCACACATCCTGGTAACGAACACGAAATATCATTCATATTTCTTTCAATTATATGTTTGGAGTCAATGTCTGTTAGCAAAATATCAGATAAACCACTGCACAGATTTTAATGAAACATTCAAGAAATAGTCGTTAGCTTTACGCCTATAGCTGATTAAGTTTTAAAGCCAATTCAGTTCAAGATGGTTTCTTCAGCCAGGTGAAACTGGAAAACCTCAAATGGTTTTTAATTCAGAGATTTTTTACAAATGTAGTGATAGAAAGTGTCGTGAGAGTCATTCCCAACACATGCTCCAAGTGCTGCACTTCGGACAAGATCTTTGAATGAAACTTTGGCAATTAACCATTGAAGAAATTCCTGCTTGCCTGTTAGCGAAATATCTCAAGGAGCACTGGAGGGATTTTAACAGAACTCTCAGGAAGGAATCAACACACGTGACCCTACAGCTGATTAACTTTTAGAGTCAGTACAATTCAATATTAGCCAAGACAAAAATAATTGTAAGTCAGCTGTTTTTACAGATATTGAGCTAAAATTGGATATGGTAATATCCAATCAGTTTCAGTCACATGGAGGCAGTGCTTAAAAGCCTGAATTTTGCCTGAAACTCTCAGACTGAAGAAGTCTCTTGGAGAAGAGACGAAACGTTTCATTAGAGAAGAACCCGTCCAGAAGACCTATACAATTTTTTTCTTTTTGATTTTTTACCTGGATTACTGAGATGCATCAGGACCATATGGTAATAGCTGAGAGTCAGTCTCAAATTACACATGCACATTTTTTTTCTTATAGCAACATCCTGAATATTAAACTTGGTTAGGTCTACAGTTACTTTACATGAGCTCTTAGTCTGAGCACAGCCTGGTTTGAAGGCTGCTTTGTTAATTCTGAAGCTGCCGGTGCTGTTTGGTGGGTGGATGTGTCTGAGAAAACACACAGAGACTATTCACACAGGGTGGAGTTACAGCAGGTTGCCCCACCCTAAAGAAATAAAGAACCATCAACTCATTTCAGCTGATTGTTCTTATTTCATTAAAACATTTAAGATTTTGCTACACATTGGAAACACATCACTTTGTTGTTGATTGATCTTCAGAGTGTGTCTAATTTTGTCTCCAGGAGGTTAAAGAGACTCTGTTGAAGCAACAGATTCTGCCCTGAAATGACACCTCCCAGTTTGTGCAGCCGAGTTATCTCCAGGTAATAATCCCAGCGGCCATCAGCTGCAGGAGCAACGTGCTGGGTGGGATTAGCAGCTCACACGTCTACGCAGAGGAGTCGGGTCTTTATTTTTACAGAGATGAAGCACTTTGTCTGCTGTGTTTGCTCGCTTCTTCTGCGGTTTTAGAGCGAGCACCAGTTTGCGTTTGTCTCCTGTTACAGAAGTGATAAAATGCAGAACGTTGGCTGTTTGTTTGGCAAAAAAAGTAAACATTGTGACAGAAACTAGGATAACTGTCTGGGCTAACGTGTTGGCAGTGAGATAAAAAGATAACAAAATGGAGAATGAGCTATAAGAAGAATATAATATATACTTTAGTATGTTTACAATGAAGCAAATCTTGAAGTAATTGTGAGCAAGATTGATCAAATAGCTTAAATAGTGTTTCTGACTTTTTGCATTTTCACATTAAATTTGCTTAAGATAAAATGTTCAGATCCCTGTTAATTTTTATTTCATTAGAGTTAATCATGCAGTTCTCATTTTTATGGAAATGCGTAGCTGATGACACTGACAACATTGTAAAATTGGACGTTTAATTTAAAAATGTTGGGGAACTGCAATGAAATAAATAACAAATCTTAATGAAAACGACATTTGTTTTGTTTCTAATTTACATTAAAAGTGTGTTAATCGCCGAGTCAAATTTAGCCCTTTTTTTATTCTGAAAAAAAGGAATTTACACATAAAGTTGAGTTACTTATATCAGTTTTAGGTATTTCAAAATTTGGCCTTTTGATTAGTGATCTTATTGTGCTGTCAGGTAATAAAATCAGCAGAAAAGTAAAAAATAAATAATGAAAAGGCCAGTTCTCCAACTTTCACATTACAAGACACTTCAAAGAGCTAATAAATAAATAAATAAATAAATAAATAAATAAATAAATAAATAAATAAATAAATAAGCTAATAGAAAGTTGGTTCTTTATCAAATCTGAGCTTAATTTACAGATTTCAGTGCAGTGAGTAACATATAAACCTCACATTTACTATTTTAATGTGACGTTTAGATGAAACGTTTAGCCTGAGCAGAACCTTTAACTGAGCCAGGTTCTGAATTAAACACTTATAAATCCTACCTGACATGTTGGTAACAGAAATAAAAAACTAAATACTCATTTCAAAGCGATATGTCTTCCTTTTGTTGATGGGTTTGAGCTCAGTAGCAGCAGCAGGGGGGCGGAGCCTGGCTGAGTGACCTGCCCCCTGATTGGCTGAGCAGCGCGACGTGTACGTCAGTCTGCAGCAGGTAGAGCCACATGTGGCACATCTTCAGCCCCCGCAGCTGAAACCTCTCTCCAGCGGTGCTGATGACCGGATACCTGTTTCTGTGAGCGGTCTGTCGAACTTCCCACGGTGAGTTTGTATTTATTAAACCCCTCTTCACTTTTCAACCCACTTTTTTTTTGTAGACCAGCTTGTTTTTGTCATTCATCGGTGCTGCTATTGTGACTCATATCTGTCCCATCACTACAGTTAGCCTGATTAAAAGTCAGGTTGTAGGGAAATTTTTTTTATTGTGCTGTAATCTATGCAAAACTTTCTTAAAACCGGTTAGATTTTCCAAAATGCTTGTGAATGCTCAAATATGTTGCAGAATATGTTTTATTTATGAACAGGAAGTTTATAAGGTTTTTTTTTTTATTGTTGTTGTTGTTGTTGTCGTTTTTTGGCAATAACTGAGGAAAGTTAGTGCTATTTCTGTCTGCTTTTGTGAGCTTAACCTTGACTTTATCTCAGAAATGAGGCGATAAGAGGCAAACATCATGGAATTTTCACACCACAACATCAGATACAAGAGGAATATTAAATAAATAAATTCATCATATTTTAGTCTGACTTAGTTTTGTGCACTTTTAGCCATTTATCTATCAAAATGTTCAGCTCATTCAGGAGACAGCTGCTGTGAATTGTGTTTTTGAAACTTTTACTTTATTAAATTCTCCCCCAGTAAAAATACATGACGTTATTTTCAATTTCTTCAAAACCATTGAAAACTCTTTAAAATCTTCATCAACAAACTTGCTGTTTTTGTCTTTTTATTCTACTTTAGTTACCTTTCTGCACCTCTTAGCTTTAGTTACTATTTTACTACTTTAGCGAGACTTTTATGCAGTCATTTTTATCTAGTAATCTTCCCTGCTAGTCTTTGCTACATTAAGCTTACAGCTGGTTTTTGCTACTTTTGGCTTGCCTTTTTCAAACTAGTCCTTTGCTACTTATGTCTAGCTATATTTTCGTTATTTTTGGCTAGCCTAATGCTACTTTTTGGCCATCATTTTCTACTTTTTATTGAGACCTATGCTACTTATAGCTCCTAGCTATCTTTTTGCTACGTTTGGCTAATCATTTACCTTTTTAGCTTATAGATAAACATTTGCTAAATTTTGCTTATACATTTCGACTGTGTCCAAAACGACAGGCCGGATCCTCCGGAGGACCCAGACTCCCTGGTCTCGGCGGGCCGGGTCCTTGGTAGACCGGGAAGACCGGAAAAAAAGAGGCTGTGAATTTGGACGGTCT